TCAGAAACAAGAGAAAGTTTCAAAAAGCCTCAGTGTTTTGCTTGGGTCTCATTTAAGCTGCTACTTCCATGTATTGTTTTCCTGTTGCAGCTGGCGAAATATTTCTGTATAAAAAGCAGTGTTTCTTCTAGCCTCCCTGCTCCCCCTGTGTGGCTTCGCAACCTAAAGCCTGACATTGTAGGTGTTTTCGCAGTGGTAAGTGATAACTTCACAAACACAGAATTGAAGTATTGCTGCAAAAATCAGGCAGGAAGAGGCAGTGGGGAGAAGACAGTATGTTAAAACTGAGTGAGATAATGCAGAAGATGGTGCAGGGATGATTTGGGAGAAGGCTTTGGTCTGGTTACAGTGCCAATGTTTTGCCACAGCATCTTCTCTCTGAAGGGAAACCTCTTGCAGCAGGCAGGGGCTAGTGGGGCTGGTTCCCAGGCTGTCTGACTATTAACCATGTGTCGCTGGCATCCCTCTGCCTCTCTGCAGGTGTTTGAGAACATTGGATCTATGTGCTACAGTGTGTAGTAGGCTACGTGAAACAGCTGGGATTGGCACTGTGAGGTGAAACAAAACAATACCTCTGATAGAAACCAGGCTGTGTGAACATAAGGCTGGAAATGACCTCCTAGGGCACCTGGAGTTATTCTCGTGCTATTGCAGGAAACCGTATCATGCATACCCTTTCATAAGCTTTGCGTGCTCACAATTAGCAAGCTATTTTGCTTCCACTGCAACTGTTAAAAGGCCCTTCCAGAGACTTGCTTCTCTCATGGTGAAACTATTTAATATTGAGCATAAGCTGTCCACATTTAGACTGTTGCTGTGTTCTCACTGGTGTGGTTTCTCCAGGGTTTGCTTCCACTTGATTATAAAATGTAGTCATATCTCTGCGGTCCCCTGGTTTTGCTAAATGAATGCTCCAAGCTTTTTTGGTCACCCTGTTGGAGATAGGCAGGAGCTGCAGTGTGGAGCCTGTTGTTCCAGCCAGAACACTCTCATGCCAGTAATAGCTAGGCTGGGAACAGTGGTTTTGGGTGATAGAAGCTGCTCCTGCACTGTTTCCTGATACTCCTTTGCCACAAGGGTTTTTCCAGTATAGATCTTGCCTCTACGCATTGTAGCCTAAACATACTATGGAAAAAGGGGCTGAGATTACACTGGCAGCTCCTTGGATTGTAACACCTTGTTCTTTTGTGGTCAGCTGAGCACTGTATGCCGTGGTTTCATCTATTTTTACTTATAGAGGTATCTTTCAGTCTGAAGCTCTGGTTTTAGTATGTAAATAATATAGGTAGAATACAATGCGCTGTTGAGAGGGTTTTATACAAATTTTTGTTTATTATACACAGCCTTAATGTTTCTAGGTTTTGTGCCTTTGCTACAGGGTGGAAGTTGAGGGGGTGTTGCGTGCTGTGATAGTTGGGCAGGGAACACGTGGGATGGGTTTGGCACCCGTGGAGAGCTGGGAAGCAGTGTGGCACTTGAGTATTTGCCAGAATTCTGGGCAACATTATCATTAGTTGAGCAATACTGATATTTAAGCACTCATCTTTGTTTCAGAGCTCTACTGAATAGGCACGGTTTAAATAGGGCTACTGTTTCAAGCTGTCGGCTGCTGCAGGAAGCTAAACCATAATTTTAAATTATTTTTCACCCATCAGAGTTGCAAAGGCAGAAGTTATGATTTTCCAAAAGACCATCAGGAGCGCTCTGCAGAGAAGGCGTGGGTTAGGGATGGGCAGTGGCACAGGATTTCTGGAGTCTTGATTCAGGGACGGGCCTTTGTCTATAGCGACTATATCTAAATTTGAGGAAGGCTAGTGGATAAAAACAAGTATCTGAGAGAATCGTTGAGCAAATGCTTAGAATCATAGGATGGTTTAGGTTGGAAGGGACCTTAAAGATCATCTTGTTATAACGCCCCTGCCATGGGCAAGGACACCTCCCACCAGCCCAGGTTGCTCCAAGCCCCGTTCGACCTGGCCTTGAACACCTCCAGGGATGGGGCAGCCACAGCTTCTCTGGGCAACTGCGCCAGTGTCTCACCAACCTCAGAGAGAAAAATTTCTTCCTAATATCTCATCTAAATCTCCCCTCTTCCAGTTTGAAGCCGTTCCCCCTCATCCTATTACTACGCGCCCATGTAAAAAGTCCCTCTCTAGCTTTCTTGTAGGTGCCCTTCAGATACTGGAAAGCTGTTATAAAGGTCTCCCCAGAGCCTTCTCTTCTCCAGGCTGAATGACCCCAACTCTCTCAGCCTGTCTTCATAGGATATACTCCCAGTGCTGGAGGTGCACAGTTGCTATTGCCATCTTAACATGACCATATCGAGCTAAGCCAGGGGTCCCTGGCTGACTACTGCTGCATACCCGTACCTCTCCTTGACCCCGCTCGTTTCCCAGAAGAAGCCAGGTCAAAAAGCGGATCTGTTGCTGGAGGGAGAACAGGCTTTCCCACAGCCCCCTTCCCAAGGCAGCAAAGCTGTCTACAGCAATCCAGTTAATGGCAGACCAAACCGTATGCTCTGGGATAAGCCTGTGCATGAGTTGTGTGTTGGATGCTGGCACTTGATGCATCATATAATAAGGCTTTTTCATGCAGTTCATTTGTTCCTTTTTTATCCCTCAGTTTTGAAACCAGCAGTGGTGCAGGTTGTGCTTGGTTTTTTTTTTTTTTGTGATCAACACCTTTGAGAGGTGTACTTGCCTCTGTCTTTTCTGAAAGATGACAAGCAAGAGACGGCAACCTCTTGCTTCTGACCTCCTTTTGGACAGTCTGTATTTTGAACATGCCATGTAGCCAGTTGTTAATCTACAAATTGTTATTTGTTGGGGAGTATTTGTGTTTAGGCTGGTAGAATTTCTTGTCTGCAGGAAAATTCTATTTCTAAAACTTCTTTTGTTTCAAACCATAACACAAGAAGCCAACATTTGTATGTGGTCTATTGAGTTGAAATAGTATCACACACACGGAAACAAAGTTGAGCATTATGGCATCAATACAATAACGTTGCAACAAGAAGTTGATGCTGAAATTCATTTCTAAGTATGTTGGAACTAACTGAAATGTTTTCCTCAGACTTTATATGTTAGTTTTCTTAACACAATGAGATGAAAAGGACATGTTCCTGCAGAACACTTCATTCTGGACAAACTATTTCCTATCAGCAAACCCACTGCATTTTTTTTTTTAACCAGAGTACTCATAGTTTGGAGGAATGCAAGCACCATTTGCTTTCGCCGCAAGCTGGAGCTCCCTTTGTTCATCACCTCCATAGTTTTGATTGCACCGGTATGACTAGCCTACTGCTGAAGTATGACTACCTGCAGTTCCCCAACAGTGCTGCCATATGAAAATGACTGGCCAACATCAACTCTGCAAAAGCTGCCACAGGAATTCGCCAAGAGCTATTCCCATTTCAGCAGTGCATCCGTCGCTGTCTGTTACATCGGGGTAAGCTGGGCCAGAAATTCTGCTCCTGCCTTCACCCTGAAGACGAGTCCTTGAAGGAAGCCCTGGGCGCTCGCAGAAGAACAAAGGAGAACCTCCTTAAGAGAGAAGAAAGGGGAGGAGAAAGCGTTGCTCTCCGGCTGTAGCAACCCCACCTCCCGGTTATTTCATCTTCCTTACAAGGCTAAAGCTAGGAGCTTTCCTCTGCCGCTGGGTCCCTTAAAAGCAGCAGAGCAAGCCCCGAGGATCCCGGTAGAGCAGCCGGGATGGGAGGCTGATAGGGATGGGGAAGGAGGCACTGCCGTGAGCCCCGCAGAGAGCAGGGCAGAGAAGGCTGGTGCTCTCCGGAGGAGAAGTGTGACAGTATCCTATGAATCCTATACCAGGTGTTCACTGATGCAGCTCTTCCAAAGCAACATGAAACCAAACCCAAAAAGAAATCACTGAGGGGGGAAAAGTGCAACTCGAGAGGTAAATATATTTTTCCTTGGGAAAACCAAAAGTAACTGGCTTTATTTCATTTGAAAATCATTCTTGTAAGTAAATGCCTAAAACTGGGGACTGAAAAATACATTTACTAACATCTGAATAAAGACTTTGGTCTGACTGAATTCAAAAGCAAAACTGTGTTAAAAAGTCAGATCAACAGATGAATTCAGGTGTGTCTGAAGAAATTTTGATTTTTATCTTTAGGCATTCACACCTGAAAACATTTTTTTAACTTTTTGTTAAATATGCTTTTCTGTTTTGCTCTCTGCTATTGCTAAAGGTTTTTGAGAAGTAGTATGCACGTACTTTGGAGGGGAAAAAAAAAAGAGAAAGAGTGGCAGAACCAAAACCTAAACTGAGAATGTGGTAAAATGTCTCCAGTGAGACATTTCAAATGCTGCTGTACCCCTGTTCTTGCAGTAGTGCTATTTCTTCAGAAAGATCCATGACCTACTGAGCTGGAATGTCTGTTGACATCTGGTTGAGGTTACTGTAGCTGGTATTTGGGATTCAGGGTTTTTTTTTCCAGTTTAATTGAAACAAGCTGAGATTGTCTATGCATTCTATGAATTGTTTCCACGCTCTGACCATCTAGTCTCTCTGAAGGGTAATTCTGGGACTGCTGAATCTGAACTGGAAAAGAGGAAACACCTTGATAGTTTGAAACTGCAGCCCTTCTCTGGGTGATGCTGCCAGGGAAAGTCAGAGTGGCTGAAAGACGGAAGACTTTGCCCCTTGTCTGTAAGATGCACCGAGACAAATGTTTTGCAAATACAATACTGCTAACTTTAGCATAACTGTAAGTTATAATGCTTGGGCTTCTGATTTACATCTTTGCAATGCTAGAGGACTTACAGATGCTTTTATTCACCAGGTAAAATGAAAAAACAGCCTTTTGACAATAACTGCTGGGAGCTGTGACAAACCAAGAGAGCAGAGGACTACACAGCTCCTGCAGATTCTCACCTGAGGCATCGGATCAGCCTTCTGGCAAGTGTTTTCTGAAGTGT